GGGTGTAATAAAGACACAGAAAGCCAGTGTAACACAATGCGATCACTGCACGACTACAACGTAGACATCTGTCTGTTCGAAGTCCGACTACCTAACTGTGGCACAAAACTAAACAACGTAGCACATAGCAACGCAACCTACCGGTTATACCAAAGCGGTCCAATTGACAACTCCGATTTGCATGGGGTAGCAATCGCCGTGAGCGGTCCGGTCAACAATGCCATAATCTCCTGGGAACCAAGCTCTCCCAGGACTGTCATGGCGCGCTTCAGGGATAAGCCATTTAACCTGACTGTCATCGCTGTATATGCTCCAACGTCACAAAGACGACTTATACAACCAAGTTCAAGACGCACTGAACCGCAGTCCGAGACGCGACATTCTTCTTATTGCAGGAGACTGGAATGCACGCACTGGTCCATCCGACGAACATGCTCGGGAAAGTTCAGCCTTGAACAACGTTACGAAAAGGGCGAACATTTGGTCACATTTGCTGACCTTAACCGGATGGTCGTGGCCAACACTCGTTTTCAGCGCCCCAGAAAACACCTACTTACGTGGTAATCACATGATGGTCGAACGGCACACCAGATTATTTATATTTTGGTACGTGCTCGCTGGGTCTCTTCGACGGAAGACTGCCATTCCTATCGCGGCGCAGAAACTGGAAACAGGAACAGCACGGACCATACCCTTGTACACGCCCGCTTCAAGATCCATCTGAATTCTCGCCGAAAGGCTCGTCTCCCGGACTAATTCAACGTCGCGCTCTTGGAACGAACTGAGAGAAGGCAGGCGCTGCTGGATGCAACCGCTCCCAACATGGCCGCAACTTTCTACGACTCAACGGTCGACGTCGTGGTCCACGTTGAAAAAAATCATCAGAGAAGCGGAGCGGGGCAGTTAGGTGGAATTCTTCGCTACAAGAGAGTTTAGATCTCCGAAAGTACACTGCAGTTATCCGCAAAGGCAGAAGATGCACGGCTAATCAATTATCCTGACTTTCGTATTCTCCATCGCCAAGCCACACTCTCCGCTAAAAGGGACTGTAAACAATATTGGAAGGCGATTGCAGAAGGCATGGAGTCTGCAACCGTCGCAATGGACGTTGGAAGGCTATTCCATCTAATCCGTGTCCTAGCAGGAGACAGGCGGACATCGGAACCACTGTTGCTCAACACCACAGCCAACTTATTCAGGGAACTGAGCGAAAAATGCGAAGATGGGCTGAACACTCCGACGGGCTGCTCAACCGACCATCAAACCAACCTGACTCTCCACGTGTGTCAAGCAGTTCGACATCAATTGTAACCCACCTGGTACGACAGAAATCGATGCAGTCACTTCTCTGAAAAGCATGAAGGCCACCATTTGGGAAAGAGAAGCTTTTCCAAAAGACTGGGCAGCTTTAATTTCAGTACCGATTCCAAAAAAGGTGACAGATCCAGATGCGAAAATTACAAGGGTATCAGCCTCATTGATATTGCGGCCAAATTGTTTGCAGTGATACTACTTAATCGCTTCGCAGTCGTCAGAGATACCCGCATTCGCCCGCACCAGGGGGGGG